GAATTTTCTTTTACTTTTAAATTCACCTTCAATTCAGTTTTAATCAATTTGTTCATTCCAATGACCTTCCAATTCATTTAAACATCATTTTTGTTAATTTTTTACCTTTTAATTACGTTTTGTGTGTACAATCAATCATTCAATCATTCAAAACCACTATTAAAATTGATTCCATGTTTACATGAGAGGCCATTTGATTACTATTCAATAACTGGATTAACTTAATCTCTCGCTCATCATTATTAACAAGTGGTTGCAAACTCAGTCTGTGGCTGTATTAGTGTTTCCGTTGTGTCCGTTTCCGTCCGATTTTTTTTAACTCAATTTTTTTCTTCGACTTTGATTCTCTTTAGTATCTTCCTTCGGAATTGTTCGAATTGCCGAATAATTTGTGCCAGTCAACAATTTCGTGCTCGAGATTGTAAAAATCTTCATCTCTTTTTACACTGTCTTACCAAACCAACAATTGAAGCCTGTGAAAGTATCTTAGTTGCCTGTTATTCATTTTTCTACTCACAACTTTCAGGTAAGATCAAGATTCTCATCATCTAAATACATACATGTATGATAACTACTTGTTGCTCTCCTTTAGATCAATTCAAATTAGCAGGATTGACGGTCTTCAACAATTCCTGGAGCCAAGTTTATGATTTCGGTGGAGATGAGGGTGTTGAGAGTTGGTCTCTCCTTGACCATGTAAGTAACGACCACCTGTTAGATAGTCCAGAGAGAAATTGATAATAATAATAAGATAACATATTCTTTTATGAAGGATGTCCAACCTGAGGATGTATTTGAATGTTTACTCAACATCAAGGAACCAGAGATTTCACTGGACACCGTGTTAAGTGTCGTACCTCGAACTTTGGGAGTTCGAACAGATCCTTCGATTGAAACTGGTTTGGTTATATTTTTCCCTGATGGTAATCGAGAGAAAAGAGCAAAAGCATTTATTCGTGAAATGGCAGAAAAATCGGTAAGTCGAAATCGTAAGATGATCGTAAGAAATAACGATCAACAAGTGGTTGATGTTGAAAAGAACGATGGATTTTAATTCTTAAAATAAATTCTTTGTTCATTTAAAGTGTTCGCTGGTTGCAACCAAAGAATTTATGATGAAAGAAGTCGAAGCATCTCAAGTATTTCGAACTGATTCTTATAATTCAGTCGTTGGTCGTGGTCCAGTTATAGCGATCCAACATTTTGGACCTGATTGTATAAGGAAATCTCACCAGGCCGCTAAAACAATCGCTCTCGAAACGGGATCAACTGGACTTGTCTACGTTTCATCTAATCCTGAATCAGCTTTTGAACAGATCAGCCTAATATTCAACTCGACTGATCTTCCACAGGAAAAGTTTACCACACCAACCAAAGCACCTGATGAACAATCAAGTTAAATCAATTATCGTCTCTGTTTAATCATATGAATCAATAAATCGTCAACGTTATAACATCAAAAAGTTATTAAATCTCAAAATCTTATGACGATAAAAACTAAATTTGACTTTTTGTCCTTTTTACCATCAATCGATTATTTGTCAAACGAATTACGTTAATTTGGTTAGTCTTTGAGGAGAAACTGAGATTTAATTAAGAAAAATTGACTGTTCTGATTATGTCAAGGACTTTATATCGAAAATATAATGAAATAATTACTATTAACGATTTATAATTAATAGAAATTGGATAATTAAGCTCAATTAATGAACGGAAAGGAATCACTGAAAGTTAATCATTTGCGTGGTTGTGAAACTCATCGATTTAAAATCAATATCGTTTCCAATTAAAACCAACAAAGAATTGATATCAAGTCATATTAAGACCAATTTAAGATATTCACCGAAATGGTTCAGATGAGATTATGAACATTGTATTATCAACAATTAAAAGTATTATTAATAAAATGTTACCAATAATCAAAATGATCTACGAAAATATTACGACGAAAAGATCACTTGTTAAAAAGTGTCAACCTCAAGATTTAATTGTCGCTTTTGAGAAACTTAAATCAATCGAAAGATCAAAGTTTATCATCAACAAATCGACGACTTCTAAATTTCAACGATTCATGTGCTACTTTATACTAATTATGAATAATATTTTTCTCTCTCGGTGGTTGATTCTAAGCCTGACGAACAATAAAACTTTACAATTTATTCTCGGCGATAATTACACTAACCTGAGAGAACGAGCATTCATCAATGTGATGATTTACATCGCGAGTTATCAAGGAATGATAATGAGTTTTTACGTCATTTGGCTCAACAATTTCGTCGACAAGCCTTTCATCAGCGTACTAAAAGACTATGTCGAAGGAGTTAAAAGTTCGAGAAAAGTTTTCCACCTTTCAGACGATCATGATTATCTCTTTCGCAAATGGTACACCAATGGAATCAGAATTTATCTCATCTATTCATATGGATTCATGTTCTACGATTGTTTCCTTGATATCATGATAATCGTGACAGAGCAGAAGGATTTTGCAGCCATGTTCGTTCAGATAATGTTATTGTGTATGATTACTTTTAGTATGCACTTCTCTTCATTCAGTAATAATTGGTTCATGTTTCATTGGTTGATAACTGTGCTATTTACTTATTGTCGGGTGGCTTCATTCACGACCGAGTTTACCAAGCGGTTGTTATGTTTACAAGATCAGAAAATATTCATTCTCGAACTGCAAAAGTTCAGCAATTGGTTGGATTCATTTAATCGGCAAATCAATCCACCGACTTTATTCAACTTCTCTTATACATCTTTTTTTACCGTTGTTATTGTTTATTATGGTTCGCAACACAATTTCTCAAATGCTGGAGTAAATATGATGTTTCGAGGAGCGAGTATTATATGTATAACATTTTTCTCGACCTTTTGTTTTTTAGCTTCGTTCATCCCTCGAAAAGTTTGTATCATTTTCATCATAATGACTCAATCAATGAATTATCTTCGTTTCATTTTCATTCACAGGGGAAAAGAATCCATATCATGACCTACAACCTGTGTAAATGTAAAACTAAAGACGTGCCATTCATGTTAAAGGTAAAAATCGTCATTAATTCTGATCTAAATTTCTATTTTTCTAATCAAAGACAATCTCAATTCAGAGACTTGAAATTCTGGATCGATTTTCATATCGAAACATTGGTTTATATTTAAACGAAGGTACCTTGATATGTAACCATTTCTCTATTATCGTGAGTATTATAATCGAGAGAAATGTTCAATTCTAAATTTTGATATTCTATTTTTCATTTCAGTTCTTAATGGAATGTGTTACTTTGTATCTACTAATGTATGCGAATTTAAATAGATGAACAATTAAAAGATTGTGTGTGACCTTTGGCCGTTAACTGTTGACGATTGTTCATCAATAATCATCAATAATGATGGAAAACACGATTATTATCAATTAACATTGATGATGAACATTGAAAGAACGAAGAATAAAAATTTCCATTTACGTTGTTTAAAAGATTAATTGATTAACATTAGTTAATTCTAATTTGTTGAATGTATATTTACAGTAACGTTACATGTTTTAACAATTCAGATCAAAAGAAGAGGAAAACAAAAAGATCCGCTTTGAATTAATCGTTATTCATTAGTTTTCTTGTCATTTATGGCAAAATCTTGGTTGTGGTGAGAAGGTTAGTTAATTAGACCGATTCTCCGTTTTTTTTGATTAATTGGGTTCATCATCTCTCTTGGATTTTGTTGCTTCATAATTGAGATCATGTCAAGTGTCAAAAATACTGTTATTTGTTTTAAATTATATTTCTAGAACCATATCAAACATCTAGAGGTAATAATTGAGTCCATACAATTATTAAGTAGTTATTGTTTGATTATCCAATTACTTGATGGTTTAATTGTTCAGGGAGATTTCAATTCAATCCATGACACTGATTAATCAATTATTCATCTTCTCGTATGAAATTAAGATTTTGCCTGTTGATCCTTCTATTGACTAGGAACACACACAAAATTAATCAAGTTTATCAGATGATTGGAATCAAACTGAATATTGAAATCAGCTGAGAACTGAATCATCGCAGCTCAGGTGGCAAAGAAAAATGGTGAAGATGATGAAGATGGATAATTAAAGGGCTTTCGGTCCATTTCTTGGTATTCAGATCAACAAATTCCATTTCAATCTATTGTATGAGATGATGAATCTTTTTTTATGGCAATTTTGGTTTCAATGTGTCTCGAAAAAAACAGCAAGACGGAAAAGGGAGAAGAGAAAAAGTAACAGAAATAAAATCGATCGAAAAGAATTGAAATTCAATCTCAATAAATGATCAGCTCTTAGTCTGAAAACCAAGAATTAAATTCAGACTTGAATGCCACGAATGGTAACAATTATGTTATCACCAGCAGCGGTTGGAGTTGATTGTTGCTTTTCAATGGGTTTCGTTGTATCAGGAGCAATAATTACATCACTAATTGTTCTTGAACCAGAAGTGGTTGATGAAGATTCAGTTGATTCTGTCAATGGACAATTGGCAAATGGTGTTGGAGGTTTAATCTTGGTTGCACTAATATCATAATAATGTGGAGTAATTGATTGTTCACTTTGATCATTTATATTTGGATTAAGAATTAAATTCTGTGTTCCATCATAGGGTAAATCAGGTAGAAAGCACAATGGTTCCTCATCCAATTCCAACTCTAGATCAGCAATATCTTGGGAGGTTGATGTATTACCCGAAGAGGGATGTTGATAACCAATTTTAGATCCATGTTGAGGTGTAACCTGGCAAGATGAGGATGTGCTTGACATTTCATGCGATGGACTAGTCATTGTCTTATATGGAACCACAACCGCTGCTGCATAACTTAAATTGGGTAGAGATTGGGTTTGCATATATTGAATTTCTTGAATCTCTTTCTCATCACAACCAACTGCTTTACCTTGATGACTACCTGTTTCTGGACAATTAGTTTCCTTATTGTTAAATGTTGACAATGAATTAGTTGTTGTTGTTGGTGATGATAAACATTTTGACGATTGATCATTATTACTGGAACTTGGTTGATTAGATAAATCGCCAGAATCATCATCATTATCTACATCATCATCGTTAATGGTAACCATATAGTTTTTTGTTATTGAATTTGACCTTCCGCTCCTACTAATTTCACCATTAGTGCCAACGGTATAAGAAGTTACTTTTGGGTTAACTTTACTATTATCGTTAACCTCAAGGTCAATGGTCTCATTTGTCCTATTATCGGCAATCATAGTTGTACGTTCGTAGGTCAGTTTGATATTTTCGTTCAAACTTTGATCAATTGGTTGACTGATTGACTGAGAATCATTTGATAATGATGAAGATGAATATAAATTATGTGAACCAGAACTTGATGATGTTGAGGATGTTAAATTACATGAAGTTGAATCAGTTGATGTTGATGATAAATCAACATTAGGAATAACAATTGATGAGGATATTGTTTTCATTACTTGGGGAACACAAATTAAATCAGTTGATTGTAAACAATCAGTAGGCGATCCTGTATCAAATAAATCTGTTCTTCCTGTTGATTTACAATCAATATTGGTTAACATTGTTTCATCAACTTTACCAAGATAATTTTCATTAATAACACAATTAAAATTATCGTTTTCATTTGATTCATTTTGTTGCTCATAGATAATTGTATCTATTGATCTTGTCAATTCTTGTTGATGTGATGAAAATTGCTTGTTAGATAAATTAATTGGTATACTTGAAAGTGATTTATATGATTGGTGATTTTGTTGATTGTTATGTTGATGATAAGATGTTAATTCATCTTCTTTAGTATTAAAGGTCATAGTCTTTGATTCTGAGGTGACATCATCATGGTTTAGGTGATGATCATCTTGAACATGGACTTCAACAATACATGAACTTTTGGAAGGAGTTGTAGCTCCAACTGGTCCACCAATGGTCAGTGTGATACCATCAGAGGAAAAAGCATTACAGAGCATTCGTCTCTCAGAAATTGGTGTTGATAATTTAGATGAATTGTCATAATTATCTGATCCACTGAGACCGTTTGAAACAGAATTAATTTGATTATTTCTACGATGACCACCATGATTACCACTGGAACCATTAACTCGATGGGAAGAGTTACTTTCAGAGTTATTTCCATGGCTACTGTTTCCATTATTTGACTCGTTGTTATTGGCGCCAATATTGTTTGGGTCATTGTTTTGTCCAGTTGCAAGGTTTTCCAATGATGATGGCTGTGAATAAGGTGGTGGTGGTCCCCAGGAAGCAAAAAGTGACTGTGGTGATCCCAAAAGTGGTGGACCATTGAAGAAAGGTGGAGGTGGAGGGTGTGCATATGCCATACTATGAAGATGGTGGAAAATGGCATCGTTTGAACGAGTTCGTCGGTTTAATCGAGCTAATGATCTATTCCTAATTACGGAACGATAAGAAGGATGTATTGGTACAAGTAGCGGAGAAAAGTGTCCCACTGGTAGGAGTGGATGATGTGGAGGTGGTAAAGTTGGTGACAATGGTGGAGGTGGAGGTGAGTGTGGTGGAGGTAAAGGTCCATAACGATTAGGTGATCGATGGTTGTAACGATTTTCGGTGACCATTGCACCGGTACAATCAGCAGAACCAATAGAATGACCATTACGATCTCTCGAAAGTAAACGCCGTGAAGTGTTTCGCTGTTGACGTCGAGGTCGACGATTACGATTGAATAACCAACTGAAAAGAGTCCTCTGAGAACTGGTTTCCGGACTAGTGGTACTTTCATTGTTACGTCCGGTGTCAGAAAATAAACCTGACCGATGACCAGTTATTGTTTCACCAAGTGGACCCACTTCACCTGGGGAACTTGAACATGGACCCGGTGCCGTTTGACTTTCATAACTGGGTGTACAATAGCTACGATAATCAATCAAATCCCAAGGAGGCGGTGGTGGTGGTGGCCATATCCAACCTCCTCCTCGTCCACTAGAACTACCGCCATTCATTACACCACCAGGATAGAAAATATCATCCATAAACGCTGAACATCCTTGAGCTGCAAGTGTGTGTGGCGGTGGATAAGAGAGGATGGGAAAAGGCGGAGGTGAAAGTGGATCGTGATTGCGACGATTGTTAAATGCATGTTGATGGAAACGCCGACGTGATTCCAATTGTTCAAGGTATTTCTTTTTCTTCTCATGGCTCATTAATTGATAGACTAGCATAGAAGTAAAAATTGAAATTAATATTCCAAAAACAGAGACACCAAAAAGTGCCCGAAGACAAGTATTCAGGGTTCCATGAACAGCATCACAATTTGGTATATTTTGAAAAGCATAATGACTTGAATGTCCAGTAACTGTAGGTGGTGGTCAAGGTAAAAGAAGAAGAAAAAGAAAAATTACAATCGAGTAAGTATTGATTAAGAATTAAATGATTGACATTGGATAAAGAAATTTTCATGATTCCATGTGTAAACTCAGTTGGAAATTGAATTGATCCATGAAATAAACAAACTCATAAAAAAAACAATATTATCAAATGGGAACAATTTCTTTGACTATTATTTACACAATTGAAATTAATTGTGTGATGATTAACTAACCTTGAACCGAGGGATCATTTGAACCTGTTATCCCTGAACCTGTCATGCAAATACAGGTAGATGAAGATGATGTATATTCACATCCTTGGAGGGTTTGTAATCGATTCAAATGGATTACGGTTGTTGTAACCGTGGTAACAACACATATAAGAGCACTGATCAGGCAAAAGGCTCCTGAAATTTTGATCTAATAAGGAAGAAAGAAATAAATTGTTATATAATCATAATTGTCAAAATTATTCGGGTCACATAATTAGTTAATTGTTCAAGAAGATTCAAAGTTAACAGGTAAAGGTAGTTTGTTATTAAATTGTCTTAACCTTTTTCTCCTCTTCTCTTGTGTGTATATAATTGAATATATAAATTTAATAAAGTTGTTGTTGGTTAATGATGATTATGATTATCGTCATGTTGATTGTGCTATTGTATTTTTCTTAAAATCAAGATGATAATCATCATGAGAGATGATGTTGTTAAGTGAAAATACTGTTACTTTGTGTGAGATGTTAACCTTTACAATTTGAATGGAGAAGATTTTTTTTCCAACTGATTGTTATTTAATTATCATCACAACTACTGTTGTAACAATTAACTTTTCCTAACCTAGACTCTTGGATTTGATTAACAATCAAAATGATTAATACATATTTCAAGTCGTAACTTGTGGTCAGCTGATGATGATGATGATGTTAATCAAACAATTAGATAATCATACAAGCCGATTGTGATGAATGCAAAAAAAGGGGGTTAATTGTTTAATTACAAATGACAATCAGCTTAATTGTCAGATAGTATTAATATTTGCAAAAAAAATGGTAGACAATTTGATAACAATTAGAAGGTGAAATGATTAGATTAAATATTTACCAGATTAAAGTATCTTAGATTACGTTTGGCTAAGATACAAACAATTATCCCATTTATGATGAGCTGTTAATGATAATTAACATGATTAATTAGCAAGTGATGAAAAATGATCAGTTGATTAACCAAATCCACCAATGAATATGTTGGAGAAAAATAAGATTAAAAAAGAGTTAGATTATAATTGTAAACAAAGATTAATAGGGTTAGTGTTGTAATGATTAAATTTTACAATTAAACAATTGTTATCTTCAAATTAATTACATTAACATCATTTATCTTGCAGTATATTAAACAGCGGATGATTAAATGTTAATCTAATAGCGATGATGATGGTGATAATTAAGAATTGGGTAAGTAATTATTATTAGTATTACAACAAATACTAATATAATTAACATGACAATTAACAATCTACATTCAGATATTAACTCTCATATATTGTTAATTTAATTGTCTCCACTAATCATAATCTAATTTTCTCAGGTATATTAACTGTTTGTTCACACAAACAAACATTTTCTGATTCCTGATTGTGTCCGGTAGTTATGATACTTATATTGTTAACGACAGAATCAAAGTGTTAATTGTAATACATTTACGATTAACTAAATTGTTTTAGTTTATTGTTTCCCTAAAACAGTTGAAAATTGTTTATATTTCTTGCTGCGGGAATATAATTGCAAAACAAAAATGAAAGTAATACAATCAGTACACAAAGTGAATCAACTAATTGTAAACAAATACAAAGACCCTAAGGGTAAAGTGTTAGCAACAAAAAAAAACAATGTCTGATTGTAAAATCTTAAAAGCTGAACGAGTAAGTTAATTAAGGTAATGTTGATGATTATGATAATTGAGGAAAACCTAATTAGTCACAGTTATTGGTTATTAGATTTTCGTATTATTAATGGAAAATGATACAATTCACAATCAGTGAGAGAACACAAACAATTAGATTTAATTGTTTTCCTCCATCTCATATTTTGGAATATACAAAACGATGTGAGTTTTAAAGGTGAGGTAGAAAAAGATGAGGATGATAATTACCGTAATTGCAGGTATATATGTAGGTATTGTTTCAAAATAATGAAGTGATGAAGTGTAGCTTGATAAGATGAGATAGATTACAATAAATGTGAGACCAAGAATGAGCAATGATCCACCACAAATTAAACACAATATCACATATTTATGGCTAAAGGCATCTTTCCAGGTAATCGGATTAACATTCATCTTTACAATTGTCCACTTAATCTGAGGATGTCAATTAAAGATGATGAAAAATGTTTCATTCACAAAAAAATATATAATCCAGAGAAACAGTTAATTTGATGTCGATAGAGTGAAGTTGGTGAAATGCGAGCCAATGTGTTCAACAGGACAAGTTAATCAAATTGTAATGATTAAAATCCGTTTGATTAAAAGGTTCCGGTGGAAGTTTTATCAACTCTCAAAGGATAATAATTGTTATTAACATGATGGTGATGATGATGATGGAAATACTGATGATAATGGTTAATCTTTCCAACCCAATTGTGATAAAATCGTTGATGTTATGATAAAATAGCAAATGATTCCTGAAGAGAAAAAGAAAAGAAAAAAATTGTTTTAATAAAATGATGATGATGATATAATGGAATTGATAAAATTGTCAAATTTGATTAGCCCATTTGATTAGCACAGAGGAAAAGATTAAATTGAAAAAGATAATCAATGAAAAGTAAATGAAATGATCATAAATGAGAGGAAAAAAAAATGTAAACAAAGTTGGTTGGCATACAGAAAATGATGAAGCCCTGTTGATGAACAATCATGAAAAAAGTAATCATGATGATAAATGATGATGAAAGTTACTCAATTCATTATCTCATCATCATGGTAGTGATGATAATGATAAGATTTTATCCTTTTAATTGGAGGCTTACGAAGTCTAATATAATCTGATGTCCATTCAAAAGCATAAGAATATGTTGAACATCATATGATTGGAAACATTTTTTCTTTTCCTCGAGATGATCAAACAATTCACTCTCTCATTGCCTCATTCGTACTGATCTCACATCATCATCAACATCATCATCATCCAAGAAAATATATTGTTGTTGATGGAGAGTGACAATGTTGAAGACACACAAACGCGCACAAGGAAAATGAAGTTGAATTTTTTACTTGGTTTCACCCAGTTTGTTGGTTGAATACTTGAACATGAAGAGACAACTGATTATGGTTGGTAAATCATCATCATCAACAATTCACTTTGATTAATAAACACACACACTAAAGTTTAACTTGTCACGCAGATCCATTATTCTTGTTGTTCAGTTGACAATTTCATTATTCCACCTCAATTCAGTTCTTGTTTCCTTCTATTATTTTTCTTATACTAATTCGTATTAGTATATATTCTTATGTACAACAAGATAAACAGTTGACTAGAATTGGGAAAAGCAAAAATCTCAATCTAAACAAGAGTAAAAATCACCAACAAATGAATTGAAATAAACACGCGGAAGTGACTGTTTATTTCACTTCTCTTCATCTTTCACTGGCGGCACAATTTTTACCCATCAGCATCGCAAGATTCTGATGGTTGTTGATAAAACTGATTCCTAATCAAAAGTGATCGAAAAGGAGAAGAATAAGAAAAAAAAAATAATCCAAATGATACACTTACAGTTGAAGTAAAGAAGAACAAAAATAAAAATAATAATCCAAGTGAAGGTGAAGAACCAGAATCACAAAATAGTAAAAAATAGTAACCGAAAAGAGAGAATCAACTTATTGGACCTTTGGAGATGAAACAAAATTCAATGTTACCTTAACTCTGACCTGAGGTCAACTGAGGAAAGATTTTTGTACGTGTTTACCAAAAAAAGAAAAAGAAAATTCCAACGAAAACAAAGTGAAAGAAGAAGAGAAGAAGAGAAAATAGACAGAGAAAAGAAAGAGAAAAATAAAAATACGGGTTAACTTATAGAAAGAAAAAAAAGAGAGAAGAACAAAAATAAAAGAGAATAGAAAAAAACGAAGAGCCCAGAAAATAGACTTTACTTTTCTATTGGAGGGAAAATGGAGACAAACAAATTTACAACGTTTTCTCTTTTTCTGGGTTTGGTGAGAGAGAATTTGTAAAAGCCCTGGAATGTTAAGTCATGAGAAAAGGCCTAAGGTCTTTTATCGATAGACAACAAACGACCCAAAGAGAGAGAGAGAGTAAAGAAAAGAGATGATGATGATAAGGAAGAAAATAGGTAAGTTCTTTTACTTAATTCTATGTGTATTTTTCTTTCAGGTTCTTACCTGTTGTGTTTATGTTTTTTTCTTCTTCTTCTAAATTATAAGTTGATTGTTAACTATTAACTTTCTTTCTCTTAATCGTTTATCAACAGATTCTCCGCATGGTTTTTGGCTTTAAAGATTAACCCGGTTAACCTTAGACTGACCATCACCACCATCATCATTATTTTCCATTGATTATGACCATTGATATGGATCTTTTTTCGTTTTCTCTCTCTCTCTCTCTCGTCATGTAATCTATGTAGATGTTTGACCGGTGGACTTGTTCATCTTTTCATTGTACAGGTAAAGTAATTTATAAGATAATTTTTTTATCCTTGTCACATTTTGTTTTATTGGTTTTTTATTTCTACTCAAATGTCCGTTCCTTTTGATTTTTATTTCAACTTCAAGGTGAATTAAAGGGTGAAGGTTGTGGAGAGAAAATTTTTGGCCATCATGGAGAAATTAAGGCGAACATAATTTGTTCTATTCTATTCCATAATTTTTGTCTTCCATCATAATCTTCATCCATGTAATTTCTTTGTTTTCCTTTTTCTCTTCTGGTCTTCCAAGGAGAAGATCTAGATCTTTCTATATTCTATCTTCTGGTTTTCTTGACACTTTCTCTTTCTTTCGTTTCCTTTGTCTGTTTTCTCTCTCATTTGTAATTAGATGATGTGCTTTTGTTCTAAGACTTGGATCATCTTTCATCTTCTACTACCACAGGACATTGAGAATACAAATTCTCGGTCACGGCCATTGGTCGAATTATAACTGTGTGGACTCTTCAAACAATTGGAATAGCAACAAAATCTACTTGAGTTTATTTCTTCGTCTTGGAGCCAAAATAAAACTTAATAGAAAAGAAGGAGAACAAAACGAACAACTTTATAGAGGAAAACAAGGAAACATGAAGGATTTTAAATTGATGGATACCGTTGAGTGATCAATAAGAGAAGAGAAGAGAAAATAGACAGAGAAAAGAAAGAGAAAAATAAAATACGGGTTAACTTATAGAAAGAAAAAAAGAGAGAAGAACAAAAATAAAAGAGAATAGAAAAAAACGAAGAGCCCAGAAAATAGACTTTACTTTTCTATTGGAGGGAAAATGGAGACAAACAAATTTACAACGTTTTCTCTTTTTCTGGGTTTGGTGAGAGAGAATTTGTAAAAGCCCTGGAATGTTAAGTCATGAGAAAAGGCCTAAGGTCTTTTATCGATAGACAACAAACGACCCAAAGAGAGAGAGAGTAAAGAAAAGAGATGATGATGATAAGGAAGAAAATAGGTAAGTTCTTTTACTTAATTCTATGTGTATTTTTCTTTCAGGTTCTTACCTGTTGTGTTTATGTTTTTTTCTTCTTCTTCTAAATTATAAGTTGATTGTTAACTATTAACTTTCTTTCTCTTAATCGTTTATCAACAGATTCTCCGCATGGTTTTTGGCTTTAAAGATTAACCCGGTTAACCTTAGACTGACCATCACCACCATCATCATTATTTTCCATTGATTATGACCATTGATATGGATCTTTTTTCGTTTTCTCTCTCTCTCTCTTCTCGTCATGTAATCTATGTAGATGTTTGACCGGTGGACTTGTTCATCTTTTCATTGTACAGGTAAAGTAATTTATAAGAGAATTTTTTTATCCTTGTCACATTTTGTTTTATTGGTTTTTTATTTCTACTCAAATAATCGTTCCTTTTGATTTTTATTTCAACTTCAAGGTGAATTAAAGGGTGAAGGTTGTGGAGAGAAAATTTTTGGCCATCATGGAGAAATTAAGGCGAACATAATTTGTTCTATTCTATTCCATAATTTTTGTCTTCCATCATAATCTTCATCCATGTAATTTCTTTGTTTTCCTTTTTCTCTTCTGGTCTTCCAAGGAGAAGATCTAGATCTTTCTATATTCTATCTTCTGGTTTTCTTGACACTTTCTCTTTCTTTCGTTTCCTTTGTCTGTTTTCTCTCTCATTTGTAATTAGATGATGTGCTTTTGTTCTAAGACTTGGATCATCTTTCATCTTCTACTACCACAGGACATTGAGAATACAAATTCTCGGTCACGGCCATTGGTCGAATTATAACTGTGTGGACTCTTCAAACAATTGGAATAGCAACTAAATCTACTTGAGTTTATTTCTTCGTCTTGGAGCCAAAATAAAACTTAATAGAAAAGAAGGAGAACAAAACGAACAACTTTATAGAGGAAAACAAGGAAACATGAAGGATTTTAAATTGATGGATACCGTTGAGTGATCAATAAGAGAAGAGAAGAGAACAAGAAAAAAAAATTCTATCATAAGTTGAAGGTGTTAAGGATCCTCTTCACAAGGATCAACATGAGTTTTTGTATTTTTTCTCTCTTTGTATTGGATACATGATGGAATCACTCATCACCAACCGTTGTGTTTGTCAATCAAACCAATTATTCAACATGTAAGGATTCTCATCTTGAAACCGATCAAAATTGATCAATCCAAGGGTTTGACTCAAATTAGAAGGAGATTACCGAGTAGACTAATTTTATCTTCGCAAGAACCAGAGATTTGAGTCTCTACCCTTGGATTAACCTTTCAAGAAATGAGATCAATCTCCACTTGAAAAGGATACAACAAAAAAAGGGAAAATAACAGTACATTTAGCTAATTTGTTCCATGTTAACAGAAATACGAATCAATATTAGTATTTCATATAATAAGTTCGAATGTTGATATGTAAACATTTCTTCCATTTTAACGATAAATACATGGAAATTGAAACATAACAAACTTATTAGATATTTCCCATGGTAGAGTTGATTTCATGTAATAGAAGAGAAAAACAAAACAAAAAACAGAAAACAAGATTAGATTCGATTAACAAAAGTAACTATTTTTTTCTATTCTTTTTTTTTGTTTAAAAAAGAAAAGAATGAAAATATTCTGTTCTCATTAACTATTCGAATGAATTGAAACAAATATACACACAGAGATGATGATAGAGATGATAAAGAATAAAATAAAATACAATTGATTCATTAATAGTTGATGAAATATAGAGAGCAGATTATTGATTCAATTGTTATTATGTAAACAAATGAATATGATGCCAAAAGAATGAGATTATCAGTTGAATTCATTAACACACTAACACCAAAGATTTACAATGAGATAGGAAATTGTTTCAAATTGTTTAATTGTTGAAATGTAAAAAATGGATAATTAAACAATTAATACAATTAAATATGAAAAAGAAAACAAAAAATGAAAAAAAAATGTAAACAAAGAGTTGAGGGTTCGTCTTTTAATTACCATTTGATTGATGTTCTTTAATTTTTTTTCTTTGTTTCTTGATTGACAATTAAATTGGATTATTTGTCGACAATTATGTTATCACTTTGATCATCATGTAAACAATTAAGATCAATAATTGTCGAGAAAAATTTTCGCTCCAGAAAAAAGAGACACAATCTAATTAATTGTGATTGTTTCGATCTCTGTTCCAACAATCATAATCATAATTAACTAACGATGATTATAATGATGATCGTTAAGAGACAGATTTAATTGTTACCAATACAATTATCAGTTAACTAACATAATTAACTAATTCATGGATTCATTGAGTTTTCTTAATTGCTGATCAGCTGGAAATTGTAACTAATATAACCAATTATTTTCCTTGGATAATTAATCATGATTAGTTAATCGTTAGATGATTTGATTTCATGATTATGTTTATATTGATAAATTATGTGAACAATTAAATTGTAAAATATTGAAAAGTTTCTGATTTAATTAATTAATGTTAATCACGATAGAGGATGAGCTGATTATTGATTATGTTGTTGCAGTTGATTGTTAACCTTTAAATTATTTAGCAATTTAAGTTTATATTAATTTTTGCAACAAGTTAATAGTTAATCATTTGAAGATGATTAAGATTATGGTTAAAGGAAATACAATCAGCACGCAATTAAATATTAAACATCAGAATATCGTTAGTTAGTGAAAGTGATCAAAGTTTTTATCCTCATCTTAATTTGTCCTCAATTGATAATGATCTTGATTTAATTGATTAACTTGATCATCATCATAATCTTAATCATGATTAAATCAATATCTACACGGAAGAAGGTATCATAATGTTAATTGATTAGGATAAGGATTAAATTGTTAACAATTAGCTATTGAAATATTTTATAACCAACGGGAAGCTTAATTGTGATTAGGTGAAGACAATTGTGATATTTGATTGTGGTTATCAACAACAATTAAGAAAACAAATTGACAATAATAATTATACATTATGTTCAAGGTGATTATCATTTAGATAGTTAAATGTCAAGGTGATCAACTGATTGTAGTAAATGGTCAACCTATTGGTCAGTAATTTATTAACTGTTACGAGACTGAAACAATCAATATGCTAATTGTTATATAATAAGTAAATTGTTGTAACTAAATTAAATATTATTACTGTAAATCCTAAATAAATATTCAAGGTAAAGTTTGTAAAGAAATTAAAAGTTAATTACAATTAACTAATTGGTGATGATAGGGAAAAGAAATGTTCACAATTGTCAAAGTTTTCTATTCACTATTGATTGCAATTAGAGTTAATTGTTGCTCCGTCGCATCTCACAATCAAAAAAGTGAATTAACAAATTGTTAACCTTGTTGTGATTCAATTTTTCCATACACTAAATCAGCTTAATTGTAATGATGATTAAAGTTAATTACCAAAAAACTTTTTTTTCCTTTTTTTCTTGTACAATTTAATCAACTGTTAGCCAATGACAAGGTCATTTGACCATCGCCGAGCCTATCAAACAATTAACAATCAAATCTAATAATAAAATTATAATTGTTGATGATTAAAAGTGATTAGATTGATGATTAAGATGAAGGTTGTATCGTGATTGTTTTACTGGTCAATTGGTATTGATAATGTTACTTTTGTTTTATGAGCGATATGTTTAATTGTTGTGATTAACTGTAAAGTTTTTTTTTCTCACTCCAATCGAAAACAAAATCAACGGAAATTTGATCACAATCAAGGTGAAAATGATGATTAACTTGATGATGATGATTCAATAAAGTTCTTGAAACAATTAACCAGCAAAAAAGTCCATTAATAGGAAGATGATGATGAGAAAAGTTTGTTAAAGTTTCTCAGCAATATAAGTTAACTATTTGGTTGATTGTTCAACGATTGATTGTTGAATCCATTTAATTGTTGTTAGTTTCAGGGTAACATTATTTAAGGGAATATATTTATTATCACTCCAGTAGTTTAATTATCTTGATCATCTTTAATTGTTCCATTATTTTGTATCTAGAATATTTTTCGAAAGGTGAAAAAAAAGTTCTAACTCGATAATTGATTGATCGAAATGTTCAATTCGTTGGCATTTGATTGTAAACAATTAGAATTGATTTTTATCAGTGATTTATTGATAATCATTGTTTTCACTTTCTACTATTTCCTCATCATTATTTTGATTAGATGATTAATAGTTATCTTAATTATCTTGCTTGAGATCGTAACATTAAAGCTCAATAATTAAATAGGTAAAGATGATTAAGATTGGTGAACAATTAGTTTAATTGTAAAATGAAAGTCTAATTGTTTACCATTTAGAGTTGACCAGGTTGATTGTTGAACTTTTAGAAAGATTCAAATTATTATTATTATTCATTATACTTTTCAGTTAATCATTGGCACAATTAAGTAATTGTTGATTTGTTAACAATAAGCGGTTAGTATATTGATCAATGGTTAATCATAATCTTAATCACTTTCTTAGGTTAATTAAATTTTGAATTTATGAGAGTTAAACCAATGATAATCAATCAATTCACAAAAAGCGCAATAAAAATTCATCAATTAAATGAAACCAAATCAATCAATTGGATTATCGTCAAAGCAATTAAATAATATTTAGCTATTTAATTGAATTAAACATGATCATTAATTGATGTAATTAACTAATCAAACACGAAAATCTTGTGTTTAATTAGCCATAAATAACTTTCAATTGTAAATCCTTTTCTTTAGAATAACTTTTTCAACAAGAAAACAGGAAACGGAAATGATGCTTTGAATGATTCAAAGAAAATCAATTAATTTGATGAATCTAATCATGTCCATAAGAGATAATAACAATTTATTTTTTTCCAGGAAAAAAAACTTATCACGATTTAACCCAAAATACACACTAATTGTGACAATTGTAACAATTTAACTGTAATTACAATATTAAATTGTTGTTAAAATGGTGAGATATTAATTTCGTTGAGATTTTCATTTCTTCCTGTAGTAATAGTTAATCAAATTGTAAACAATTAACTTCAATGTAATAGGGAATTAAGTTAATCATGTTTTTCAATTAAACTATTTTTCTTCATCTATTGTAAGTTTACCGTTATAATAATTGTAATGAAAAGTTGATAACAATTTAATCATAATGTTACAACAATTAGACTTTAAAAATAGTAACAAACAATAACATGTGACCTAATATATTGGTAACAATTTAAATTGATTGTTGAAAAAAAAGATTTACAATTAATTTTGATGATCTGTTAACATCATCAATCTAATACTTTGTAAAATATTAGTTAATCAATGAATTAATAAATTGTTACCTGGAAACAATATTAATTGTGGTCATGTAAACTTTTAATTGTGCAATTAAATTGTAACTGATTTAGTTAATCGATTAAATAAAAAACTATTCAATTGCTTAATGATGGTTACATTTAAATGGAAACAATTAAAGTAAAAAAGTAATCAAAATTAAGTTAATCATGTTCCTGATTATAACCAAAGGGACAACAATTAACCTGAATTGTATTGATAATGGCAATGAGCATAATGATCAACCAATTAATCAGTGAAATCTTAATCATAATAAATCAACCCACTCTATTAATTACTAATTACAATTGATCAAACTAATCTACTATAACCTTTAATTTTACAATTTAAAGAGAAACAATTAAAGATTCATTGAGAAATCAATTAATTGATTAGATATTTAGTCCACCAGAATGATTAATTCATGTATTTATTTAGTGATAATTACAATTAACTTACAGGAGCTTCTTCCGGTTACAATTAATCAAAAGAAAGAGTAAAAAAATAAAAATATTTAATCAATTCAAAAGATAATTAACAATTTAAATTATAATTTATAAGGTGTGGTAATTTAATATCCAAATCACAATGATTAAGATGTTGATCATGGTGATGATGATGATTAAAAGTAAATTGTAACAATATTCAGATAATCAACTACAATTAATCAGATCAATTTGAACCTTAATCTTTATATTATATATAAAAATAATATGATAC